CGTTCCGTTCCATGAAGCAAATGATGTACCTAAATCGCATGAATGAAATAAAAACCCATCACTATGAAGGAATCAATTTATTTATGTGAACGTTGAATTAACATTCGATAGGGGACGTGACCACCACTTTCACTATATTTTTAGAAACCCCTTCTAAAGACTATTCCAATAGTCCAAAGCAAACAATTACAACTTTTACAATACGTAAGAAATACTTTTTTAAGTAATTCGTTTATCATGTACATGAACATGTAATGTATAGCATTGACGCCATCTTCTTTTAAACATACATATTTGTAGACACGATATAGTATTTTATTTTTGTAATATAATATCATTAGATATCTGATAAATATGTATGTATTAGATAACAATATTTGTGTTGGGAGAATTTTATTAGATACCTTATTTAAATCAAGATCTATCTTGAAATAATCAATTATTCTAGCAGAAAAATGGTAAAAAAATCTTGTTTATATGCGATGAAACCGAACTACATTCTTTTAAATTTGCACTTTTTCACCTGTATCGGTATCTAAATTTCAGAATTTTGGAACCTGTAATTCGTAATGTACGAATTTAAAGATTCATTATTTAAAATTCTCAATCAATTTAAGATTCTTAATTTGAAGATTCTGAATCTATCAGTGGTTCATTTTATAAATCAGAACATCCTACCCGATAGCATCCTACCCAAAAACATTTTTATCAGACCGTTCGAAAAAGACTGTCATTATCAGTTCGATTTCAAAAGTTTTATGATCAATTAGTCCGTCTTAGAAAGAATCAAGTTAAACAAGCACTCACCCTATTAAGTGGCCAGGGATTAAAATGCACTTTTCCGGGTAGTATTGGTTTCCTCCCCAAACAAGCTTCCGTTTGTGTGGCTTGAGATTTCATCGATGCAGGCACTCTCTTCAGTTTCTCTGGAAGGAAGAAAACAACTTTATCTTAAGTAACCGGGTGTCAAAAACTGAATCGACTCAATATGGAACAAGTAAATCTCAATTTCTCGTTTGCTAGATTTCATTGTAACCAACCAAATGAACTATGAATTATTATAATCAAGAACAACATTCTTGTTTTCACTCGAAACTGCACAATTTCCTATCATAAATAAAAATACTGTTCGTTTCAAGAAGTTAGAGATATGCCCCTTCCCTTTATTAGGATGCGCCGTAGCATCATTCCAAATTCAATCATATTTATCTGCGGAGCTCATTTCTCCACCCATCATCAAGCGAGAACTCGACGAAAGTGTACAGTACCATTTGTAAAATTATTTAAACTGGCTCGTTAAAAATTAAGAATATGCTTTATTTAAAAGCATATTTAGCCAAAAATAATAACAAGTGAATTAACTTAACGTTCTACACACCTATAAAACTTTTGCTTTGTTTTCTATTGTTAATTTATATACATTTTTGTTTTAAGAAATTGCTAAACATTTTCGTCTAGTACTGTACAGTTCTAGCCGATCTCCTAAGACCGCCCATCGATAGCTCTGCT